CACACACACACACACATTATATATATATATATATATATATAATGTGTGTGTGTGTGAATGTGTATATATGTGTGTATGTGTGTGTGTATGTATGTGAATGTGTGTATATATATATGTGTGTGTGTGTGTGTGTATATATATATATATGTATATGTATATGTCTAATATCAACTAGTAGTTTAAAGTCTTATTTTGCTCTGATTTGCAGCCAGTCTAAGCAGATGTACTTTGACAGAATACATTTGTAATTCATTCATTCGTATGTTATATTTGATGAGATCTATCAACAAATGTTTATTACTTCCCTTATTATCAAGCATTTAAATATGGAATCATGACTCCCTGCTTTTAATTTTTTAATCTGTTCTGAATTATTTGATAAATACACTTGCTCCTGCTAATTTTCTTGTCTTTAATGACCGAAATTGTTCTCTGTGAGCTGCTTTTACCAGTTGAGATGTTACCAAAACCTAGTAGTTTCTCTTTGTATTTGACATGAGTTGGTTATTGATCATGTCTCATAATTTGTAAAGGCCTTGGAGATGGTTTCATCTTGTGGCTGGGGCTTTTCTGTAGTAGACATAAGATGGTGCTGTTGTATCGATTTTAATGAGCATCACCAGAGCACTTGCGTGTCTGCATTTCTTACATGGTGTAATAAAATAAAGGAACGAGTGTGCTTTGCATCAGGGCTTTTGTTCAAACGTAGTACAATATATTGTCATAACCTTGTGCATTTCACATTCTTAATGCTAATTAATGTTTACAGGGTCTGGTTAATAATGTGCATGTAATCGGTTAGGCTGATCACTGCTGATATGTTCTCATAGACTTACAGGTAGCCGTCATGAGTCTTCAATGGACGGCCGTGGCAACGTTTCTGTATGCTGAGGTGTTTGCCGTACTACTTCTATGTGTCCCCTTCATCTCCCCAAAACGGTGAGTTTCAGATGTTGTTGAAATACGTTAAAGCAGTAGTTCACCCAAAAATTAAGATTTGCTGAAACTTAACTCACCTTCAGGCGATCCAAGATGTAGATGAGTTTGTTTCTTCATGGAAACAGATTTAGAGAAATTTAGCATTACAACACTCGCTCACCAGTGGATCCTCTGCAGTGAATGGGTGCCGTCAGAATGAGAGTAAAAACAGCTGATAAAAATATCACAATAATCTACAAGTAATCCACATGAGTCCATCAATTAACATCTTGTGAAGTGAAAAGTTGCGTGTTTGTAAGAGACAAATTCATCATGATGTTTTTAACTTTTAAACCTATGACCATAATCCATAATAATGCTTCCTCCAGTGAAAAAGTCCATCATCTGTTGTTCTCTCGCATCAAAATCCAGCGACATATTTGTTTAGAACTATTTTGGACTGTTTTCACTTGTCAACAGTGCTTGATCTGTGTGTATTTCTCTCCTGATTCAGGTGAGACAACTTTTTCACTGTAGAAAGCAATATGTATAGGACTCTATTGTTTCTTACAAACACACAGCTCTTTGCTTCTTAAGACTTTTATTGATGGGCTTGTGGATTATTATTGTGATGAAATATCACCTGTTTGGTAAATTTGCTGTATTTTTCAAATCCGTTCCAATGAAGGAACAAACTCATCTACATCTTGGATGGCCTGATGGTGAGTAAATTTATTAATTTTTGGGTGAACTATTCATTTAAGTTAAAGGTCCACAGTAGGGTTGTGACGGTGAGGACATTTTGTAATACCGGTATCACCGCGGGGGCGGGGCGTTCCCTCTTTTCCTTGCTTTCCTTCACTTTCAAATAGCTTGTAAAAGCAGCGTGTGCATTTTACTTTCACTTTCAAATATTGACAATTCGGAGTAAAGCAATTGTTCGTTTGAATTTTCCCTCTTTTCCTAGCTTTCCTTCGTTTTTTTAATAGCTTAAAAGTGTCGTGCGCATTTTACTTTCACTTTTGAATTAGTGCCAGTTCGTCGTCAATTGCTTGAATGCAACAACAAAATACAACGTCAAACTCACTTTAGCGTATATATAAAATAGAACTTTTATTAACAAAACAAATAAAATTACACCATGCTATAGGGCAGGCTATGCCTAATATAAAATAACAAATAACTTACATAAAGTTTAATAGGTATACAAAACTGGAAATAAGTAAACGTGTATAATATATAACCAAATAAATAAGAAATGTAGAACGTTTATTAGCAAAAAGGAATGTCAAATAAAATAAATAAATGACACAAAGTTTAAATAAAGTAAAAATCAGCAAACAATGTGGAACCAATTCAATAAGAAATTAATGTTTTTAAAAAACTTCCAAAATCAGCTTAGATAAACGGCAAAAGTCAACAGGCTTTTCAAAATCCAAAATATTGCCAAACAGGCGCTTTTGCATTTCGTTTCGAAACTAAATAATCCGCGATCGTCTTGTTTGTCTCACCTCACCTCACTCTTCTGGTCAGTCAGCTGGACTCACTCTCCTCACTGGAGAAATGAAATCTGATCTGTGATGCAACTGTCGTTCGGCACGCTGCATTGAACAGCTGCGTTCAGTTTTTAATTGTAGTGTCTGTTCTTTTACTGAACTAAATGATTTTTATTACTATAAAAAATCTAAACGACGGTGGGGGTCGGTGAGGTGGTGGGCAAGTGACGTAACCGGTGTTGCGGCTTAACGGCACCGGTATTTCTACGGCAAGCCTAGTCCACAGTAATCTTAATAATCTCTGATAGTTATCATGTTTTAAAAACATTTAATTCTCTCACACCAGTTTACTTCAACCTCTTTCCAGGAAAGATTCCAGAATGTTGCCAGTACTAAAATCTGTCCATTTGTGGCTAAATATTGTTGCTGTGTTAAAGCACTAAAACATGAATCTCACACACATTTAGCTGAGTTGGATATTTTGATTCCAGCATTACCAGGATAATTCAATTCTGTTCAATGCTTTTATTCCACGAACAGATTTTGAATAGGAGTCTTGTGAGAGAGTCATTTCTTAATTTGAGAGCATTCACATGACCTTCAAGTCATTTTAAAGGTTGCAAGGTTGGGACACTTTGGTAAACAACATTTTCTTTGAATCACGAAGACTCCTCAAAACACAAACCAAAACAAGAATGCTTCTCAAAGACACTTGTATGTGCTCCTTTTTTGGTGTGTAGGAGAAATGTAAACCGTAATGATGTTCTTTGGACTTTTTGAGAGATTTGTGTCATCTTATGTTTTATTTTGCCCTCTGTTAATTAAGATGTTATCTCTCTTGTTGCCTTTGTAGATGGAGCAAATTTTTCAAGTCTAGACTGGTCACTGTCATCACGACGTATGGAAACACTGCCTTCATCGTCATCATTTGTATTCTTGTCTTTCTGCTCGTAGGTGAGCTTGAAAACACGTCACTGCATTGTTCTCATTAAGCAGTCTTGTTCATTCTTAGGTTGCTGCATAAATCTACATACACCATCACATGGCAATTAAGTCATTATGAAGTTAAAGAGGATGTATCATTATTAAAAGTTGCAAAAGCAGGTCATTCAGAACTGATTGCTGTATTGATGACTGCCTATATTTACATATCAGTGCTTTAGTATTCAGCAATTTGGCAGGGTTATTACTTTTTTATATGAAAAAGATAGTTAGTCATGACAGATCATTAACATATACTACTGTTCAAAAGTTTGGGCACAGAAAATTCAGATTGACATCCCAGGAATAAATTACATTTTTAAATATATTAAAATAGAAAGCAGTTATTAAATATTATTATACAGTTAATAAAATATTATTCACATTGTTAAAGTGTAATAATGTTTTACAAAATTACTTTTTTTTTTTTATCTGTATTTTTTGATCAGATAAATGTAGCCTTGGTGAGTATAAAAAGCTTATTTCAAAAACATTAATAACATCTTACTGAACCCTATGTCCTACTGACAGTAGTGTATAAAGCTCTAAAGGTTTAAAACAAAATTTGATTGTTACATTCTGCGTTTCTTCAGGGAAAAATAAAATGCTTTAAAAGTGTAGAGTATGACCTTTTTAAGGTCAAAAGAAAGATAAATTAAACTAATTATTTTATGTGTTAAGTTTGGGAATTTGTGTGAATGACTGTATGCAATAATTAAATCTGCAATAATTAAAGTAAAAACAAATTTAACTGTTAATACGTAATTTTGACAGCCCTTGTATTTTGCATTGATTGAACTAGATTTATGAATGAGAATTTTTGAAAAGTTTTTTATTTCTGCCTCTACAGATGCATTTAGAGAAATAAGAAAATATAGTTTGACAGAGAAAGTGGATCTGAGCAACAACCCCGTGGCCGTTGAGCACATCCACATGAAGCTCTTCAGAGCCCAGAGGAACGAATACATTGCCGGCTTCGCTCTGCTCCTGTGTTTGTGAGTGTTTTTTCCCCATGACTCTCTCTATGCCACTTTCTCCCGCAGGTCTCTCTCGTTTCTGTATTTTGCCCACCTCAACATGTCTCTCTTTGGCACTGGTTTTCTGAACACGATCAGTTGCATGGTCTAAGTGTTGCTTTGGTTGATGGCTCCCAGCAGATTTTCTGGACCAAGCTTGTAAACAGAACTTCACCCGGACTCTCATAAGAGGGTCTTTGGGTTCGACACGTTCAATCCCTGAGGAGTGTATTTATAAGACAATGCACAAGTTGATTCATCCTGTGTTATATTGCAGTACCCACTAAAATTACCAGACAACTGGCAAATAACATATTTACTCACAAATTTTTTTTCGTACTCTCATTAAGGGCTTGCCGCGTGTACATTTAGTACCCTTGGTGTACAAAACTACAGGTTGTTTTTACTAGGTTTTGTCCTCAACTTCTGTAACGCTTCTCAACTGTCACTGTAGCCAGTTACAGCCCAGTGCTGCAGACCTCATCCGTCAATCAAATCAGACCATCCACCCACTCAAGGATATTCAGGACAGATAGGTTGTTTGTGTCATAACAAAAGATGTTCCGTTAGAATTTTTATCAGTGATGTTTAGTTCAAATATTATAAAATTTATTGATATGATAAATGATATTACAGCGTGCACTGTTCATATTATGATAAGGATGATAAGGGGAACTACAAAAGGTGAAATGGCTAACATTTTTGGCACTTCTAGCATATGACAGACAATAAGTAATCTAGACTTTACTCATACATTTTTTTTAAATATGCAAATTTGTTATAGTATGCAAATGTGTGCATGTTTGATAGCATAAGTATATAGAAGCCTCATGAGACCTTTATTTTGAAATGTGATCCACAACTAAGTGATAGGTAATAGAGTGATGCAGTCTTGCAAACTATTCTTACTTTATTGCTTGTAGATTTTTAATAAAGACTGAAGAGCATGAAAAATCCATTTGGGTTTTTGTCGAGGGAACCAGGGTGTATGGAACAGTTAGACCCTTTTATTTTGTTAAAATGTTTAATTAAATACTTTGTGCATTTAAATGCATCTTTTTTACTCCTTTTATTTTTAAAGATGAAAAGCCCATAAAATGCTGCCGAAACAAGTTATATCTAAAATTAGTTTTGTGACGAGCTGTTTTTGCTCAATGCAAAATGTCAGTCATAGTGGCTATTGAGGGAGCCAAGGTGATATAAAATCATACAAATGAATTTTTTTAAAATTTTTTGAATATTATTATATTTTTATGTTTTCTGAGATTATGGTAGTTCAACAGTCAAAATGGTTAAATGCACCAAAAATCATTATTTAAGGCTGTAGTTCCTCTCCTTAACCCTGAGCCAGCTTTATTTATTTTTCCACACTGAAAGTGAAAATACATTAATGTTCTCTATACATAAATTACTTGCTTGTCATGCCAATTAGCTTCCTGATTTCTCTAGCACAGATTTATCTTGCATCCCCACCTTATTGGAGACAGTGTCTTTATTTATAGTCATGAAGGTGAATGAGTTGTGTACGTGTGGGGCAGACAGAGAGCAGAATATGTTGCTATATTACAGTAGACATGGAAAGAATCTTATGTTAAGCCGGTTGGGGGTCCCCCACACTGTTTCCATTCACAAACCTCATCCACGGGTGCTTAACTTCCCGCATCCCGATTGGCCGGTTTGTTGTTGTGCTCTATACGTAACATTAGAGAGTCTCCCAGATCTGCATAGTTTTCCCATACAGGGGTTTCCACCATATTTTCTCTGAATGGCAGGTTATTTATATCCTGCTGCATGACTATTACATCCATTAGTGATACTACTTCCCTTGACTGCCGGGCTTGAGTGTCGTTTTCATAATCATGCGGACAGCTGCAGGACATGTGCTCAAGCAACTGGTGATGGCATTATATTTAGCCTGTGTTCATGGCGTTCTCGCTGGCCAAAAGGCCATGACTTCTGTTACAAAATGGACCTCCTCCACCTTGCCAGCAAATGCACAGATGCCACAAAGGTGACTGAAGTGGCGCATGACGGCTTGACATTTGCTTCAGGCATGTTAGGATGCAGTAGCTGTATGGACGATTCCAATGTTTAGTTTAAGGGCTGTTCAGTGGTTAATGCAAGAGAATGGCAAACATTACAAAAATAACTTGTTTTTAGAGAATATATATTAAATCTATTAAATTAAATATTAAGTCTATTTGTCTTAGTCCACTGGCGCCTGACAAAATTTAGTTAGATTTATGCTTAAAATAAGACAAAAATTGTTAGTGGGGTAAGAGAAATACATTAAATTCAGGATATATTCTCTGATCTCTTCTAAGTAAATTAATCTTTTATGGATGTTTGGAACTCTTTTTTTTCTCTTTTATTTTTGACATTTTATACACATGCGTCTGGTATTATAATTGTTCTTCCTTTTTCTTCTCTGGCTTTATTGATTCTGATATTATGTACATTTAACCAGTCATCATCATCTGAAAAGCTGTAATCTAACCTTAAATATGATCAAGTATTCATAACACACTTTTTTTTATTGCAAAATAATCTAATGTATTTTTGTATCTCATAGAGTATATCAAGAAGGGTGAAGCCCATTAAGTATTGTAGCATTATTTTCATGGCAATAAAAATGTGTTTCTTTGTTTAAAATATATATTTTTTTAATTGTGAAGTATTTATGCATGATTAGTATATGCAGTATTTGTTGTGCTGCCTTTAATTTATTATGATTCTAATGGAAATTATTATTTTTGAACAGGACATTTTTGTTGCAGTGAAAATATTACAATTTAAAATTATTGTTTTGTTTGTATTTGTCTGTACTGTATAAGCACTTGCACCAACTAAAAAATAAAAAAATGGCAAATTTAAAAATCACGAGAGGTTAAAGTGAATCTACTGTAGATCAACTCAGATCACCTTGTCACGTCATACAGAGCATTTGACCAAAATGTGGGCTTCTCTCGCATTTATGCAAGTTGTGGCTGTCCTTGGTTAAACCCATATGCATTTTGGTCACAGCAGCCTTTTTCAAAACCTTGAACCCTTTTACACGTGTGGGCACTGACATGAAGGCGATGCATGCTGCATTCGAGCACACGGTTCAGATCTCATCAGCCTGTGCGTCTCAGCTCATCTGGCTTTATGAAATTGTAGAAGAGTGACGGTATTAAATGAGGAGAATAGCCAAAAGCTATACACTGGCTTTAGGCTGGCAAAAACCATGTGATATTTGCCTATTGTCGAGCAGTAGTTACTCATTTGTTTATGCTGATTTTGTTGTGGTGATTAATGCACATCTGTGTTTCCTAGAAGTGTTATGCATGCTTCTGGAGATCAAAACAAAGTTTAAAAATACAGAAAATGTACTGTAATATTGTGAAATATTATTTCAATTTAAAATAATCATTGATTTACTGTCAATGTAGGAAACAATACTTTTTTCAGGATTCCTTGATGAATAAAAAGTTAAAAAGAACAGCATGTATTTAAAATATAATTTTTTTGTAACAATATACACTACCGTTCAAAAGTTTGGAATACATTTTTATTTAGTGAGTGAGGTGACATGTGGCCAAGTATGGTTACCCATACTAGGAACTAGTGCTCTGCATTTAACCCATCCTAAGTGCACACACACACACCGTGAACACACACCCGGAGCAGTGGGCAGCCATTTATGCTGCGGCACCCGGGGAGCAGTTGGGGGTTCGGTGCCTTGCTCAAGGACACCGTATTGGTCGTGGTATTGAAGGTGGGAGAGAGCGCTGTACATTCACTCCCCCCACCTACAATCCCTGCTGGCACGAGTCCGACTCTCTAACCATCAGGCCACGACTTCCACGACTTAATTTAAAGAAATTAATACTTTTATTCAGCAAGGATGTTAAATAGATAGTAAAACGAGATAGTAAAGACTTACATTGTTAGAAAAGATTTCTATTTTTAATAAATGCTGTTCTTTTTTAACTTTTTATTCATCAAAGAATCCTGAAAAAAGTATCACAGGTTAAAAAAAATATTACATAAACAGCACAACTGTTTCCAACATTGATGATAAATCAGCATATTAGAATAATTTCTGAAGGATCGTGTGACACTGAAGACTGGAGTAATGATGCTGAAAATACTGCTTTGATCATTCAAGGTGCGGTTACCTTTACCTGGTACCTGGTTAATGACCAGTGGTGTAACTACGGGACGTGTGGGTGGGACAGTTGCACAGGGGAGGGACTGTGATGAATATGCTGTATTAAGAAACTGTTCAACCAAAAATTTATATTCTGTCATTGTTTGCTCACCCTCATGTGATTGTAAATGTCTATGACCAACACAAAAGAAGAAGTTGGTAAGCTGCTCTATAGTGACCTAATTCAAAAAAATAAATTATGGTGTTGGAAAGACATGAGAAGGACTAAAATGATGACAAAATTGTAATTTTGAGTTTCAAGGTGCGGTTACCTTTACCTGGTACCTGGTTAATGACCAGTGGTGTAACTACGGGACGTGTGGGTGGGACAGTTGCACAGGGGAGGGACTGTGATGAATATGCTGTATTAAGAAACTGTTCAACCAAAAATTAATATTCTGTCATTGTTTGCTCACCCTCATGTGATTGTAAATGTCTATGACCAACACAAAAGAAGAAGTTGGTAAGCTGCTCTATAGTGACCTAATTCAAAAAAATAAATGATGGTGTTGGAAAGACATGAGAAGGACTAAAATGATGACAAAATTGTAATTTTGAGATTATTTATTCTTGAGTTTTTGCTAACATGTTTGTGATTTAGTTGTGATCCCACATGCACTTCATTAGTAATGCTTTAACATCACATGTTCTCATGAGTCATTCTGGTTTGATAAATGTTCATAATTTCTCAGTCCTCAGAGAAACACTGTCCATCAATATCACAGTGCTGCAGACTTTGCACTTTACCACTTGAGGGCAGAGGTTCACATTATATCTAGAAATGGGT